AGGGTGGCATTGAAAAATTTTCTGCTCCTTAGGCGGGCGGCAGCTTCAAAAATGTTGAGAATCACTGCAATTATAGGAACTGGTTTCCAAAATAGCAGTTTTTAGAGGCTCTGTGAGGCCCGAGACGTGTCCTGCAAAGCAAAGCTAAGCTTCTGAAAGGGCCCCACACCAATGCAAAATAGCCAGGGAAGGCAGTTACTGAAAAAGGAGAAGGCGGCATGCCCACAAAAGCATACACTATCTTGTCTTCTAGTCCTGAGTATTTTTTTCCCCACTGCCTTTATAATGTGATTATTTCCCCTGCTTCAACATTGGAATGTCAGTGGTGAGATGTTCCTGCCTTTGCCTCCAGGAGACCAGATTTCACCCAGCTTTAATTTTTAACCCAGCAGCTCAACCAGCCTAGCTTGCTTTACCTATTGAAATTGCTTTTCCTGATATTGTTAAATTGCAGTAAAGAGCTCAATTCCTTTTGGCATCTGGCCACACTAATGAGGCATGCAATGAGGATAATTCAGGATACTTAAGAAATAGGCGTACAACCGTTGCCAACCACCATGTCACCAATTCTGGGAGCTGAAGTCCACACATCTTCAAGCTGCCAAGGTTGAGAAACACTACTAGGGCCTGCCTAGTAAGCTGCTCCAAGCACTTGGGAGTCGCAGTGCAAGCCCCTGCTTAGGAGGCAGGAGCAAGAGGGGCTATTCTTCCTCGCTTTGTGGCCCCTTTATTTTATGGCTCAGGTGGACATCCAGCTGTCCTGCCAGGGCCACAGGATGAAAAGGGCAGACGAGCAGCACCCCATTGAACCTCACAGTTACCCCTAAGCCAGGTGAGGCTGAGAAATGCAGGCCCCTTCTCTGTCCCGGGGATGCTGGGGCATCTTTTGCCCTGCTGGCGCTTAACGCCCTTCTGCAGTTCCAGCTGGACGGGGCAGCACAAAGGTGAGACTCCCCAGCGCTTGGGCATCACTCAGGAGGTAGCTAACTTCAGTTTAAAAAAAATAAAAAAGACAGATGAAGTCTAGCCCCCCCTGCTGGCCATAGCGGGAGTTTCGGGTTCTCGCCGGAAGGGCGGGAAAAAGGGCGGGAGGTGAAAGGAAACCGGCCGCCGAAACCCAGCAAGGCGGGAGGTTTCGCGTAGAAACGACTGGAAGAAGCTCTCTCACCAGCCACCAGCGTCTCCTTGCGCTGCCGCGGGAAGGATCTCCGAAAATAGTCCGTCCCAACCTCTCTGGGACAGCCAATCAAAGCCGTTTGGGCAGCTCGTCCTGGAGGGAGCGCGCCATCCGAAGAGCTTAGCGAGCAAGTGGGGCGCTCTGCAGAGAAAGTGCACGGAATCCAAAGGCAAGAAAAAGACTGCCTCTGAACGTGCGCAGAGTGCTTTCTCCAGCGAGGCCAGCCATGCCTGGAAGTGCTCGGAGCCAGGTATCCAAGTCAAAGGTTGTGCCTGAAGAGCGAAATGAAGTCTCTTCCATCGCCTCTGGATCACGCAAGGCCCCATTTTGGACTTGCCACCCCCTCCCCCGGGACACTGCAGAACATTTCTCATAAAAGGTCGGAGGAGGCGCTGAGCTCGAACATCTCCGCCCACCGCTTTCTCTTTTCACTTAAGAGAGAAAGATCGGTGGGTCCCACAATATAAACGACGCGATTAAAATCCTTTTTCTGCACGACTGGAGGACAGATTGCAACAACGACGTCCAGCGAGCATTAAAAACGGATTCGAAGCCGTTCCATGGACCCCACTGGAAGCCCGTTCCAGCTGATTTCTTTTATTTTTTAATCCAATTTCTCTGTGGCATGAACTGTAAAACTATTGATCATTAAAAATATAAAGTAGAAATTTTGTGAACGCTTCAGGCTCAGCCTTCCAGACCTTGAAATTTTGGACTTGAAAAAATTTTCAGTTTTTCCCATGTATTTCTTTTTGAACCACATCTTTTGCTTTTGAAAACATATCCAAGAAGCTGGTAGACAAAAAAAGAGCATCTGATGGGCGAGGTGCTATGTATAAAAACTCTCTGTATTGTAAATGTAAATGTATTGTAATGTAAATGAGTAATAACTCATTTTAGAGACTTGAAGAATATTAATTTGCTTTTGCTATTGTGGAGTTCTTGGTGCTCTCTGAGCTTAGCTGTTGGTTGCAGATGTTTCATTACCCAACTAGCTAATACCATTGCACGCCGATGATGTTACCTAGCCGGGTAATGAAACATCTGCAGGCAACAGCTAAGCTCAGAGAGCACCAAGGACTTCACAGTTCAACCTTGTGCTACAGATATTCTCTTCTACTGGAATTTGTTATTGCTGAGCGGGTCTCCGTCATTATTTGATAACCAGGAATGGATTATTGATTTCCTGAGAGAGGAAACTGATCTATAGTGCAACATTAGTAGGAAGGGCAGTTATATGTGGAGTGAATCACCACAGCTGG